GAATACTCGTTACTTCGTATGGAAGGATCTTAATGGAGTCTGAGACTCGCTTGAAGTCAAGACAATCTAAATGTCTTGGCTTGACCTTTGCGATCAATATTACGTTCCAGTCCAAGTCCTTCAATGTTCCGCGAAACCCTTTGTGGCACTTGGAGCCCAGCAAAAGCCCGTGAGAACCCGGGCTGAAATCACGCGTCCGTCCGAGCTTGTGACTGAGCTTGCGCTGACTTCAGCCAACCCTTCTGTCTGAAAAGCTCTTTCTTGTAGTAGAAGTCTGTGGACAGCAACAGGAGCCGTCTCTCAAAGTATCACTCAAAAAAGTTTTCTCGCTTTCTTGAACGTTGAGGCTCGTGGATCGCTTTTGGTGGCTCTCCTCAAAGAATTAGGGCAGACCTGTGGTGGCTGGCACAGCATCTCAAGTGAGCCCAGCACCAGGAGGTGAGGAAGGTAGCACGGTTTCTCCGTGGGTGCTGTGCCAGCTTTGGAATATTATTGCTCCAAAGAAAGAGACACCCTACATACTCTATCTTTGCATGGGGTTGGCACACCTGGCAGTAAACCGTTGAGTAATTTTTGCTGAAACCTTGAGAATTGCTAAATTAAACACCAGCTTCTAAAGGAAACCTGGAACTTGTCCAGAAGAAGAATCCTCTGCACTTTATAGAGCCTGTCCGTTTGAAAGCCAGAGAAGCCTGGTGTGGTTTCTAACATTGTACAACCAAAGAAAGTTACCTGATGACAGCTTCATCAAGCACAAAATGTCTCTTCAAGGTAAAACACGTCTTGTAGAGACAGTCTTGACTTGAGCTTTCGAGCAATGGAGAATCCACCGTATCCCTGGCCGAGTTATTTTAACAGCTAGTGAGGCTGTAGGCAGATATTCACATCTGGGGCAAGGGGAGATGTTGAGGATGACACTGCCTCCTGCCTTCCGTCACTTCCTCACTGGCACTTCCCAACCCAATGACCTTGTTGATCCTGTGAGTGTTCCTTAATCAGCTTTGGGCAAAACCTGCCAGGTTCTGGTTAAATAAGCAGAACTGGCTCAGCCGACTTCTGCCTGAAGCGGGGTAGGGAGCCGCGCGCAGACTGGTGCTCCACCAGACGTGGGGTGGTCATTTCTGGTTAATGGGTTGTGACAAAGACCTAGGAGTAGCAACTTTAGCTGGTACGGCTGCCTGCAGCGTTGAGCTCTATCTGCAGTTTGAGAGTGGGGTTCCTGACTAGCCGTTATCTTCCATCCTGCCCCTCGCTTCAGCTGCTCTTAAATGCTTGTGGAGATTTGGGATTAATTGAACCTGCAGGAGTTGTGAGCCCGGAGCAGGACAGGCTGGTTGTGATGCTGCAACTGCGCTCTTACGACGGGCTAATGTCAGAGCATCTTCCTCACTCAGGCATGACCTTATGTGTATTTACCTGCTGCCTGCTTCTCCCTGGCCACAGGAGTAGCTTTGGGAAAGCTGCTGAAGAGGCCTATTTCAGGGAGCAGTTGCTCTCGTTTAAATGGTCTCACAAAACCACTGCTTTTACGCTGCAAAATGTGTAAAAACAATGTAAATGCTGCATGTGACCAGGGTGACGTGCAGAGGTGATGCTGCGGTGTGAGCTAGGCAGGGGTTTGACCATGGAGTGCAGAGCTGATGGCTGTATAAACATGGAACAAATATGGTAGCAGAGAAAGGAACGCAGCGTATTTTAGTCTGTGGGGACAAAAAGCAAAGCCTGGCAGCTGCGTTTGCATTGTTTGAGATACTTCTGAGGAGAGATGAGATCTGTTTGCACCACAGCTGCTCTTTTCCCTTTCCCGTGGGTAGGAAGAATCATTCGGCAGATTCTGTTTCTCTCCCTCTTTTTCATGTGAAAGCGGCAAACCCAAGTCTCCAGAGAACTTGTACAACCATTTCTTAATTCATCGTGTTTCCTATTACGTGGCTGTGAAAAGCAAATCCTCCGTCTCTCACCACGGGGCCTTGCAAAGCCCAGGCAAAGATAAGAGCAATGCCTCAGCAGGAGGTTTCATTTCCAGACAATGGCAAAAGCATCAGCATGGTTTGGGATGCATAATTAATGGATCGTGTGTCTCGGGAATTGCTTGCACGTGATCGATCGTGCTGGGGCTGTATGTGGAAGCACGCGTGTGTGTTATCTGTGTTTACCCAGGCCGATATCCACAGGAATTTTAATGTCATAGACCTCCAGAGCACGTAGCTGCTTTACTCCTGGGCAGAGGCCTGACCGCTCTCTGTGCACGCTTGTTAGGACAATGCTGTGAAACACAATCGTGAGTGGGTGCTGAAGTAATTAAAGTAGTAGATACTGTGTAAAGTTACAGAAATTAACGGTGATGTATTGTTGATTGTCTTTGTTTTCCTCCCTCTCTTCAGGTATTTCCCAGCCAAGATCCGCTGGACAGAGCAGATTTCAACGCTGTGGAGTATATTAATACTCTCTTTCCCACTGAGCAAGTAAGTGGTGCTCGCAGTACGGCCCTCTCAGTGTGAGGGGTAACCTGATAGTAAGTGACTGAAGGCGTGTTTAAACCCGTACCCAAGCCTCTTCTTTTAAACAGTAGCACAGGTAGTAAGACTATAACAATAATCACTTCTTAAATTCGCATCTCATGAGGTTCACTGCCATTATGTAGTTTCTTTCCACCCAAAGTGCTTGCTGCAGTAAAAGTCCTGCTTTGATCTGTAGAAATAAATTAGTTCTCTATATAGAGGTTTCTCTTGCAGTAAATTTCATAATTTGCTGCCTGTTAATCATTGGTAAATCCTCAGGGGTTTCAGCCAAATAAGGCAGGTATTGCCTGTGAAACGTCACTAGAGAGTCATCCGTGTTTGAAACCTATTGTTGCTTTTGAGATGTAAAGAACGAGATTGCCATGGGCTCACATCTGTACTTTGTCTTCCCCAAATCAGCCCCAGGGGCAGTTTTGGACTAAGCTATTGCAGAAAGGAGGTGTTTCTGCAGCTGAAGATTGGGTTGTGAGGCAGCTCCAACGTTTACCATGTTTAAGATCCTCTGCAGCACTGGCTTTTTTGGCTTTCAGCTGTTTCTAGTTAGTTTGCTGGTGGCGCTGACTCGGCTTTTTTCCCTTTGCCAGTAGTGGAGAGCTATTTCCCCTGCAGTACCCCAACTACAGCTCCGGCAGCAGCCAGGCCTCCTCCGCCCCATGCGCTGGGTGTCTGGGCTCTGCAGGAGGGTCTCTGCCAGGGAAGGCGAAGGCTCTGTCCCCGTTGTCCACTGGAGGTCACTGTCACCACAACGTTTCGGGAGCAGTTCTGCTGACAAGGCAGAGCTCGGGGCACCCTGCTTGCTCAGGGCTGGGTGGGAAGCGGGGAGCCTCTGGGACCCGCAGGGCTGCACCCTGGCCTGCTCTGTCTTTTGCCGCTCTTCATTACGTGACCTGAGGAGCCGCTAAGTTGCCGTGTGTCTCAGTTCCTCCATCTGTAAAACGAAGTCATTGCTCTTCTCTTTGTAAAGTGCCACGTGTGAGAAGGTGTTAGGTATCACAGCTGATGTGTATCGCAGTAAAAGGTTCCCCATTTCGCCTCTCTCTGTTTTTTTTCATGTTGTAGTCTTTGGCAAACATCGATGAAGTTGTGAACAAAATCAGACTGAAAATAAGGTAAATGTTTCTGCATTTCATTGCATCTCAGGTGGCGAGTAGTCTGGTTGTCACTGAGGCGTCATAGATACAGCCTTTGCACTCTAGCCGATAGGAATTAATTTGCTTAAAAGGCATGAATAGGGTCAGTCTCAAGTCCAATAGTGGGACAGAGACACAAATGACTCCCTGTAATTATAATTCTTTTTTATACTTTGCCCCTGTTGTATAATATGTGCCTTTCAGATTATTTTAGCTGATGGGTTGCAAAGCAGAGCTTTGAAAAAACAGTGAACTAAGAATCCACAAGTACCAAATTTTAGCACAGTCTGAAGGCAGAGAGAACAAAGTACCCAGAAGATTCGGTTGCTGAAAACTTATTCTGTTTGTGAGGTTAAAATAGCAATTGTAAAACCTCATTTTGTATTTTTTTTATTGCCATTGTTGGTACTAAAAGTACAAAATAAATATAAGTGTGCAGGAAATACATAAATTTGCTGTGCAGTCTGGCATTACCGACCTGAAATGATTGAGACAGCACTTTAATATGTGGAAACTGGAAATAAAAACGGACAAGGGAAAACTGACAGTATTGCTTAACGGAAGAGAAATGCAAGAAGCCCCGATTAAATTAGGAAATGGATTTTTATTTTTGCAACAGGAGTTTTAAATTATGTAAGGTAGTGATGGCCTACAGAGAGGGAGGAAAAAAAAAAAGTAAGTTTAGCATTGGTAACACCAATTTTTAATTTAAATCTGTTCTGTAGCTCAAGGTTCCCACAATTGTTTGGATCAGGCACATAGAGAATGAGTTTGACATTATAGATTCTTTTCTCCAGGAGGTTGGATGACAACATTCGAACTGTAGTGAGAGGACAGACCAACGTGGGACAAGATGGCAGGCAGGTATGTGCATCTCATCTCCGGTAATGCCGAGGGTTCTCATCTTGAAATGCTAAATTGAGGAATGGCCCTGGCAGGCAGAAACCTGCTCTCATTGTTAGGGAGGTGTTTCTGCTGCCTCTTACAGTAATGACTTTGCGAGCTGCTCACTGAACATCTGTTCTAGCCTGCGTTCCGATCACCCTCCAAAGGGAAGTGAATGAGAAATTGATTTAAAAATCAGAAGCAAAACCAGGAGGCTTGCAGTTGTGTCACTCTGGAGCTAATGATAAAACGAACAGCATTAAATAGGTACAAGCAGATTTGCTACTGAGTAAAGATCAATAAAAGGCTATTTAGCCTTTTAACTAGGTTGTTTGCTGAAGTATCCTGAGTTGCTAGTGACTAAGCCTGATGACTGACTGCCAGTTCATCTTGCATGTCTTACTCAGCTATCAGGTTTTCACTTGTCTTTTGCTCGGAGTACGGTATTGAACAGCACAGCCATGGCTGCAGTGTTTGTGAACACTGAGCTTGGTCCTCGTGTTGTCTGATTTTGAGGTATCACCCAGTGCTGCTGTATTTCCTGGGTCTGTTCTGTTTTAAGCCGGGAACGTTAATGCCTTGAATCGTCAGTCATGCTGCTTTCCTCAGTGTCAACACTGACTCATCTTTTTAGTACCAGATTTAAGACTAGTTTGCTGGGATGGGGTAGTCGTTGCCTCACCAGCATGGCTGGCTGTATTTTCCACTTCTTGCTGCAGTAGCCATTGGTGTATATTTCTAATCCTCCCTCTGCCACAGAGTCCGTGGCCTTGAGTGAATTACTTAACTTATCTGTGCCTTTGTATTGCTTTCAAAAAAACGTGAGATGCTTACCTCTCCTAGCAGAACTAGTTTAATGCTTGCATGATTGCCTGAGTACTGCTAATAGCAGTTTAATAAACTGGGGATGTGCTTGGGATGTGGCATACCTAGGAGTGGTGCTGCCTGTAATCACTGTGCAGGGATGAGACAAGAAATCAAGTGGGGAGGCATTTACAGAAATTGAGGAGGGAGTGGAAACTAGTGCAGTACTTGGAGAGTTTGGGTATGATTGGAAAGCTGGTGCTGTTGTAACCTTTTGGGCCCAGTCGAGGTGACAAATTCAGAGAAGACCACAAAAAAGTGGGATCGAGAAGAGCTGTGGGTGAAAATTGCCCGGAGTGCCTCAGGACTTGCAGGTCCAAAGGATGAACGTGGTGAGAGATGAACAA